ACAGTCTAAGAAGGAATGGCTTACATCCAATCCGGCCACAGATCCTGAAAATGTCCATCGCCGGAGACCGCATACAGGCGAAACTCCGCGCTTAGATCTCCTTTCACTGACGTCAAAAGTAAAAGAGCAAGCGGAATCATGCAGACTACCGTCGGTTGATATGGACACTACGTCAACGGATAAAATTCCCCTGATCAGCATGGTTGCACCAAAACGCCCCTGCTCAAACGAACCCAGAGATGATTACCTGCAGACGAAGGTCTCACGGATCTTGCCACACTTGTATCTCGGTACGAAGATATAATTTCTGCTCGAGCATGTGCATAAATGAAGCCATATTGATGCATATATACATGCTGTAGATTGACGATAGGGTGAGATGTATTTGCGTAAGACTTTGCAGACCATGCCTTTATTAACGTTCTTCGGCGAATGAAGGTTTTCATCGCACTATCCAAATCTGTTGTACACAGACGCACACATACAACGAGACGAGTAAAAGTTTGAGAAGTTACTGAGTCTACAGCTATTGGTTACTAGTGTAACTAGCCGACAAATTGCCATGTCGTTTGACACTGTCGTTCAACAAACTAACTTAACTTCCACTTCCGACCCACAGTCACATGGAAGCGTCACTTTGACGAAGTAGCAATAGGCATTTCACTTACTAACAGCTCATTTCTATGGTGCTATCTCCAGGAATAGTATTCAGCAAAAAACTCACCACGAACCGTATTAGTCTGATGATGTTGGTAAATAACCATCCCATGTGACTTTAAATAGTCTTCGGTACAACGTGCTTCCCTGGATAAGTGACGAAACACCTAGTTTTAGGTTTAATCCGGTCCAGATCCAGTGGCTCTATTTTCTTTTGCCTGTTAATTGTAACATGAAGAGAGGCATTTCCCCCGTATCCACGCATATGGTTAATTTAATTATTTAAGCGTGTACTAAGCACGTGGAGGTGAGGGAATGTTTGCATATCTTTCTTCATTATGTGCACCAGAGCACGGAGGATGCTCGGTCTAACGCCTACCCATTTAGAGCCTAAAAATAAACGACCTTCATCTGCTTAGGTAGAAGCCACCGCGTGTGTGACTCAAATCTCCCCATCTTGCTATCATCAATTTTCCTTGCTTCAGTGGTGAATGTACATGACGCAGGCAATTTTCAAGCATTTACTTCTAAATTATAGGCAATTATCAGGATGCCGCAAATCTGTCACTTCTCAAGAGACTCGGTGTTACGCACATTCTTAATGTGACCCGTGATTTGCCAATGGCGTTCGAGGAGACTAATTCTTTTCACTACCTTCGGTTGCCAGCCCTGGATTCTACCGAGCAGAATATTTATCCCTTTTTCGAGAAGGCCATCGAGTTCATTGGTGAGTGCGAACATTTGAAGAGCAAAAAGATTAGAGATGTCGTTTGTTAATCAACTGCTTTCTTAAAATAGACAAATTTCCGTCCGCAATCTTAGGTTGTTTTGTTTGTTTCTCCGTTTTTATCATTGGCGAGGACTTCCAGTCGTGAATCCGGAAGTTAGTGGATAGTTGAGTATCACTTTTTATGACAAATCGGAGCTCTAAGAAGTGTATTCTATTACCTGCATTGCATATTTAGCAAGAAAGATAGCGACACAGAGCACAGTCATGGAACCTGTGCTGTTATGAATAGTTTGGAAGCCAGGAGGTGAATTATAACAGACTCACTCCCAAAACATTGTATCGAATATTATAACCAGACCCAAACTGAAGCTTCTGAATGTGACTTCAGGGGACTATGTACCGTACTACTTGAAGCTCCAGTAGTTTACGGTCGCCCCATTTTTAATACAGAATGTAACCCTAATTCTACTGAATCCGATGCATTTAGCAGTTACAGCTCTTGGTGTGTTATGGATATTTTCAAATCTTTTCGCTTGTTTCGATTCAGTTCAAAAATTATTTGAACTCTGTAATTTGAATTGGCACAGATGGCGCCAAGGAGACCCGCGGCGTGGTGCTGGTTCACTGTCTAGCGGGAATTTCGCGTTCAGCCTCAATCGTAATGGCCTACATGCTGTACCACACTCCACTTACCGTCCTGGAGGCATACAAGCTCTTACAATCATTACGACCCATTGCGGATCCGAACTTAGCCTTCCTGGGTCAACTGGACAGCTTCCGGAGACTTATTAATCCAGATAACAGCAATAAATCCGTGACGGAAGCCCTCATGAATATGTGGAAACGGTTGTCTGTAGAGGAAGAGAACAGTTCGCCCACTATCGTTCCTGCAGAATTTCCCCCGAAGAGGCATTTATGGGCCTGTCGCCAGCAATGCGAGCCCTTCTCACTGGCCGACCAGTGTCCAGTCCGCTGGACTGACAAACCAGGCTGCAGCCCGTGATACTTCTCGCATTTGCAATCCTCCCTTTCTTCCCCTATCATGGTGCATTATTTTTTTACCAGTCATTTTTTTCTAAAACAAATTGTATAGCCAGTCTTTCAGCACTACCCCAATGAACAGGATCCCTTGTAAACAAAGAACCCATATCTCTGTACATGCCTTCCCTCCCACATAAAATCTTCCGTCTGCCAATTAAGTGACTTTTATAATTCGAGAAGAATTACAGTGGAGGGTTGGCGTTT